TTTAGTAATACTTAAATCTCTGTAGTAATACTTAAATCTCTGTAAGGTTCTTGTCCCTTTACCACAGGCAAAGAGAAAAGCTCTCCCAATTAAACCTGGAAACTGAAAATTTTTTCCTTCTCCATTAACCATTTCTATTCACAATTTGACATACGTCAAAACCTTCTGGGAAAGCAGTATTTCCAACGTAAAAGGCTCATGAAAACAGGGCATGTTCTTAAGAGAAAACACAGAAGACTTAATGAGTGATTTCAGGGACCCTCATGTTCAGTTGGAAAACCAGGCCTCTAGAGACGCACTGTGCAAATAGCATGATTTAGATCATTAGGACAACAGTTGTACACGAAGAAAGCGAAAAGCAACACAAAGTGGAAATATATGTTGCTAACTAGAATGACAGTTTCAGTTGTGTAGGACTAATTTTGATGTCAAAGTTCATATGGTGATAACATTATTAAGAGAAAACAGATGAGTGGAAAGACATATGCATTATCTAAAAAACAATGGCAATCAAGCAGACAAGATCCATTTTCTCACTTAATTTGATCAAGGATCATAGAAGGGAAATTGAATCTAATTTTCTGGTTTTCTCCTCAGTAGTATAATCTAGGTGGTTAAACTATATATCTTCTTCCTAAGTCAAATGTCTGGCTGTGTGCTGAAGACACATTTTAAAAATGACCGGAAAATAGAAATTTGAAATACGGATGGCATCACACAGTGCCACTGTCCCAGCATATTAAAACAAGGAACAAATTAAGTCAGAGAGGTTCTCAATGGGTATACTTTGAACCATTCACAGGTGTATTCCCAAAGTTTACATAATGTGTAAATAAGAAATTAAGTGTTGCTTCAACCAAGGTGTGGCAGTCATTGGCACAACTGATGCCTGCTCTTTCCAGGCCCAGGAGGAAGATTGAACTTCCACAGTCTCTTGTGTGGATGGGACCACAGCCGTGGCCATGGGGTGGTAAGCAGAAAAGACCTGGGTCCACTGCCGGGAGGAGGACGGACAGCCTTCCAGAACCTTCTGCTTTGCCGTCACCATCAGGCAGGTTCGAGACGGTGATGGTTCGTTCAGCCTCGATACCTGAGCGCCCGCGCAAACACAGCAGCTTCACCTCTGCACACCACACTTCTGCGGTGTTTGTCCTAAACCTTTGTTCTGAAGCACTGATGTCTTGAGGGGTTACTGCAACGTAGTCTTGCTCTCCTAACTGAAACCAAAGGATACGCACTGATATTTGTTGGTATTATTTGTTGGTATTGTTATTTGTGTTATTTGTCCACCAGGCTGCTGAACTGAGTGGCTCATGTGACTTGGTAAGTAGAGCTGGGGTCTCTGTGCTCTTAGGAAGTTAAAAAATGTATTGTATTGTGAAACTGATGACAAAGAAGTCCCCATTTTCATAGACATCTGAGAACTTTTATGTCCACATGAGAGCAACCTTTGATGCCAAAGGATGGCCGAGTTCACTGTGCCATAAATAATTTTAGTTTCACATGCATTCTTATTCCTTCAAACAAGGCACCAGGAAGCTTAACGTCTGAATCGGTTTAATTCGATTTAAATCGGTTTAAACCGATTTGAATCTGTTTAAATCGGTTTTAAATTCGAGATCGCCCCTACGTTCAACAGCCTCACTACACCACCAGAGGGAGCCATCTGCTCTGTTTTCTGCCTCACCAGGATCGCCAGGACAGTGAGAAACTTCCTGGAGAGAAATTCCTTCTGGTCTAGCCACTTCCTTTCTAAATGTAAAACCATGCTGGTGTTGGGCTAGTTTGATAGAATTACGAAGGAAGTTATGAAATTGCATGTTCTCGGGTACCCCAAAGATTGTTGACTCAGTAAGCCTGAAGTGGAGTTTGTGGATGCATGCCAAGTCACTTCAGTCATGTCCGACTCTGCGACCCTATGGACCGTAGCCCACCAGACTTTTCTGTCCATGGGGTTCCCCAGGCAAGAATACTGGAGTGGGTTGTCATGTCCTCTTCCAGGGAATATTCCCAACCCAGGGACCAAACCCTTGTCTCTGGCATCTCCTACACTGACAGGCAGCTTCTTTACCACTAGTACCACCTGGGAAGTAGGGTTCAGAATGTTTTTAAAAGCTCCATAGATTTAAAAAAAAAAAAGCTTCCTAGATATTTCTGATGCAGAGCTAGATTTGCTACCACTGGTGGTGGTGGTGGTGTTCAGTTGCCCAGTCTTGTCTCTTTGCAACCCCATGGACTGCAACATGCCAGGCCTCCCTGTCCCTCACCATCTCCTAGAGTTTGCCCAAGTTCATGTTCATTGCATCAGTGATGCCCATCCAGCCATCTCATCCTCTGACGCCCTCTTCTCCTGCCCTCAATCTTTCCCAGCATCAGGGACTTTTCCAATGAGTCATCTGTTCGAATCAGATGACCAAAATACTAGAGCTTCATCATCAGTCCTTCCAGTGAATATTCAGGGTTGATCTCCCTTTAAGATTGATTTGGGAGATTTTATTTTTGGGGGGCTCCAAAATCACTGCAGCTGGTGACTGCAGCCATGAAATTAAGACACTTGCTCCTTGGGAGAAAAGCTATGACCAACCTAGACAGCATTTTAAAAAGCAGACATTACTTTACCAACAAAGGTCTGTCTAGTCAAAGCTATGGTTTTTCCAGTAGTCATGTATGGATGTGAGAATTGGACTATAAAGAAAGCTGAGCACGGAAGAATGGATGCTTTTGAACTGTGGTATTAGAGAAGACTCTTGAGAGGCCCTTGAACTGCAAGATCAAACCAATCAATCCTAAAGGAAATCAGTCCTGAATATTCATTGGAAAGACTGATGCTAAAGCTCCAACACTTTGGCCACCTGATGCGAAGAACTGACTCATTGGATAAGACCCCTGATGCTGGGAAAGATTGAAGGCAGGAGGAGAAGCGGGTGACAGAGGATGAGATGGTTGGAGAGCATCACCGAATTGATGGACATAAGTTTGAGCAAGCTCCAGGAGTTGGTGATGGACAGGGAAGCCTGGTGTGCTGCAATCCATGGAGTCACAGAGTCGGACACAACTGAGCGACTGAACTGAAGATTGATTTGTTTGATCTCCTTGCTGTCCAAGGACTTCAGGAGTCTTCTCCAGCACCAGTTTGAAGGCATCAATTCTTTGGCTTTCTGCCTTCTTTACAGTCCAGTTCTCACAACCATACATGACCAGTGGGAAGACTGTAGCCTTGACTATACAGACCTTTGTCAGCAGAGTAATGTCTCTGCTTTTCAACAGTCTGGTTTGTCATTGCTTTCCTGCCAAGAAGCAATCGACTTCTGATTTCATGGCTGCAGTAACCATCCGCAGTGACTTTGGTGTCCAAGAAGAGGAAATGCTATCACTACCCCCATCTTTTCCCCTTCTATTTGCCATGCAAGATGGAGGTGGATGCCAGGATCTTAGTTTTTTTAATATTTAGTCTTAAGCCAGCTCTTTCACTCTACTCCTTCACTGTCATCAAGAGGCTCTTTAGTTCCTCTTTGCTTTCTGCCATGAGAGTGGAATCATCTGCATATCTGAGGTTGTTATGTTTCTCCCGCCTGTCTTGATTCCTGCTTGTAACTCATCCAGCCAGCAGTGTAGAAGATTGCAAAGAACTGATCCTTTTCAGTCAAAAAGTTTTGCCATCTGCCGGCATTTTCTGACAGGGATCAAGATATCAGAAGCCCAGTTGGATAAGCAAAACCTCCTAAGAAAAGAATTTCAGCAAGACACTTTACAACAAAAAACAGGAGTAAAACACTGTTATCTTCAAATTTAAATTTATTAAGACATTCAGCTATGTCAGTCTACATCCAAATCTGCTACTAAAAATAAAATAAAGTCACATCCCACATTAGGAATACCAAGTTGAAAAACACTTTTTGAGCCAAGCCTATTGTATAAATAAATGACTAGTTTCTTTTCATATCAAAATTCCCATAAAAAATTACATTCCCCCCTCCCTAGTTCTACCTGTAGCTGTGATGAATGTAAAAATTTAAATATGACACAACCTTGTCAAAGAAAAGGTGCAAAGTCTATTAACAGATTTAAAAGTGGCATTTGCAGAGTGTGATCATACGTTATGTACTCATTCCCAAAGTGCAAATATTGCCATAATTTAACACTGCTTTGATTCAGTTGCCAAGAATTAAACATTACACAGGATTGGAAAGTACACTCAGGGCCTTTCTCAGTGCCCTAAAGCCCTTCCCACTTTGGTCTCCTACATTAACGTGGACTCCAAAGTGTTCATTAGAGTTTTAGTTTACTTCACACAGCCAACACAGTATACAGTATATTAACAAAAGTTTCATATACATCAAAATATTGAAGACTCCATCATAAAGTTCAAGAGTCTTGGATTACATGAATGCACCCACAAGGCCCACGCGCCCACCCACCCCCTCCCCCAAAGCACATACGAAGTATGAGCGTGCTTCAATCTTTGAATACAATCAATGCTTTTACATCTTTGATTTCATTTCAGTGCTGTACAGATAATCACCTGACTGAGTTCCAATTAACTGAGGGGAAAGGGGGCGGGAAAAAAGGGCTGGTCACCACTCATACTCTGTAACAAGAACGGTCCTGTTCCGTAGAAAGTGAAGGATCAGTTCCACCTCTGCCTGCTGCCTCCTGTGCCATCCTCATGCTTGTCATCCTCCTTACTTCAGCCCCTTTCAGATGCTCAAATCTCATTTATCCCTTACAAATCAGGGGCTGTTCCTGAAGTTCCTGAGGTTGAATCTTCTTGGCAAACCTCTACCAAACACCAGCATAGGATATATACATTTTGATTAGCATACACTGCAAACTTTCTCCCCCAGTGTCAAGGGGATGAAAGCAGGTGGTCTCCACTGAGAGCACTTCCTGGATTAGATCCTTGGAATGTCAAGTTTCCTGCCTAATCACCTCATACATTCGCTCTTCAAATCTGAGCACGGATTCTACTGTGAGTTACTTCATCTCCGGAGAGTGAAGTGCTACTCCTGCTGCTTCTCTTCTAGGCGGACCTCAACAGGAAGAGCTTCATCTTTTGCACCAGGAGGATTTTCCTTGGGCTCACAAGTCCCTTCCTGGCTATCTGATCTTCTGGCAACACCCTCATCCTTATCCCTAGAACCTTCTTGTGCCCCAGGCCCCCGAGGCCGCTCCTGGCCCGGGGCTTCAGTGCCTCCCTGGAGTGCGTGCTGCTCGGCTCCGGCGGGAGGCTGTGGGGCCGGCTCGGTGCCTAAGCCAGGCAGCTGTGAGGCATTCTTGAGCTGGCTGTGGCAGAGCGGGCAGGTCTCCTGGACGTACAGCCACTTTTTGAGGCAGCCTGCGTGGAAGAAATGACTGCATGGTGTGATCACAGCGGATTTCATGTCCTAAAAGGCAGGGGAAGAGACACCTCATGAACGTCTATTGCCTAAAATCTTTGCCGCTACACATGCGTTCTAGTTCCAACTTTTCTTTCCTACAAATTCTCCACAGAAAATCTGTAACACAGATGTTACAATAAAGCTCACTGTGTATGTTTGTAATAATCCTCTTGCCATCAGAGACCCCTTTATACAAACAATACAAGAAGCACTGGCTAAGCAATTTCTAAAAGGAAGTAAAAACCAAACATGAGGAAGAAACGACCTATGTAACTGGGTTCTGTCTTTTTGTGAACACAAAGGTATAAAACTGTAGCAGTATGATTACTGGGTCTCCATGAGTATAATTAGAACTTCGGGAAATCTGATGAACATGGAACTTTCTCCATTTTTCGCTTCTACACAGCTCTAAAGATTATTCCATGATGAGATTATTGGCAAGGAGACAAAATCAGTCACATAACACCAGGGTACTGGCAAGGAAGTGGCAACTTCGTCAGGGACGATGTACATCCCAGTCTTCACAATACAAGCCAGTGTTTCTCAGCATGCATCAGAATCACCGGAGTGCTTGCTAACCATGCACATTCTGGGGCCATCACAGACCTTCTGATCTGGCTATCTGAAGATGGCATTCACAAATCCACAGGTACAGCAGGCCACCCGTGGGACTTTAATGTACATTTAAGTTCAATAACCACTGGAATAAGCAGTGGTATACTTTGCACTAATAGTCCCTGTGTAAGATATATCTGGGGAGGGAAGGCTGAGGATATTTAGTTTAAATTATAAGGACACACATTTGGTGAATTGACCATTAATTTTGTCTAAAGTCCCAAAACATGGGAGTTGTGGCTATCGCAGAAATTCCTTGCCAAGAACCAGTAACACCTGGGCGTGGACTTTTAAGCAGAAAGCCATCCAAGGAAGAGCAGCCAGCTGGGAAGGTAAGCGACTGAGTTTCGTTTTCTGTGTGGTGTCAGCAGGTAGCCCAGGCACCTCAAAAAAAGTGATGTGACAACGGGAGACACAAAAGGAGGACTCTTGAGTCCCAGAGGCAGTAAACTTAAGCCATCAGCTGCTGAAGCCGGTGTGCCCCGAATCTGTCTCTGCCATGCTTCGTCCTGCGTCCTACAAGGCTTAGAGCACAAAGAAGCCAGAACGAAGACAATGGCCACTTAATCTGGGGGGGAATCTACACTGCTCCTCAATCCCCTCAAATGCAAAACCAACCTGGAAAATATTCTGCTAGTACCCCAAGTATGCTCTAGTAACAAAAAGTGACAGCTGAATTTTACTATTGGGGAAAATTCCTCTTCCTGACAGTCTTAACACACAAGCACATAACATCTACACTATAAAGCAGCCTGGAGCAAGTCCCTCCCCTGTACACTCACTGACACCGTTAGTCGCTCAGTCGTGTCCACCTCTTTGCGACCCCATTTACTGTAGCCCAGCAGGCTCCTCTGTCCATGGGATTCTCCAGGCAAGAACACTGGAGCGGGCTGCCATGCCCTCCTCCAGGGGATCTTCCCAACCCAGGGATCGAGCCTAGGTCCCCTGCACTGCAGGCGGGTTACTCACCATCTGAGCCTTGAGGGAAGCCCCTGATACCATCTACAGTTTCCTTCCATCGCCGGCACTCTTTTTTCAGACTGACTACAGAGAAACAGCTTGTGTTGTCACCCGGGATTTCTGCCCGTATTTCCTACATACAGTTTAACTTGAGAAGCTGCCGTCACCCTCCTGCACAGGTGACTGCCGACTCAAGTCTAGGCCTGTTGTATGTTACTGTCACTGTCCCCAAGCTGATTTAAATACTATCTTTCACTTCTTGACAGAAGACAGTCCATCCTCTATGGAGGGTTCTTGTGCCAAAGATGTCGGGGAGGCCACCTGTAACGTACACCGACTGGCTGCCTCTACTGCATCTCCTGCCCCCTCTGTGCTTCCACACAGAGCCTGCACTCATCTCAGACACTACAGAGAAGCACTACTCTCTCCACCTACACTAACTGTATGAATGAACATTTATTCCCCACCCTGGAAATACCAGAAGGGAAAGAGTCAGAATCTTGGCACACCACTTTTCAGAAGTTGCTGACTCCTGATTGATAGTATATATTTGACAGTACACATATATGTGTGCGTGTGTAGATACTATATATATTTATATATATTCAGGAGTAAATATAAAATACACCTGACCTGTTTTTCCTTTATTTATGGGTGAGCAATAATGTTGAAAATAACAGTACATTAGAACTTGAGGGACCAAATTTAAAACTTACTTTAGAAATAAACTGGAAATATTTTATCAGGTCTTTAATAATTTCTGAGGCCCACTATTTTTCACCCAGGAAATGTAACTTGAATTTGGATAATGTGGTTAAAGTCCCATAGGGTACATGGTATGGCCCACCCAAATGGCTTCTTACTGCAAGAGTTACCTGATAACAGATGGCACAAATATCGTTGTGCTTCTCCAGCTGCTCCTTCGTAGCGATGGGTAATGATTTAATCTTATTCACAGCGTCCCTGCGGAGCAGGAAGCTCTTCCACCCTAGCTGGGCCCGAAGCCACACATTATAGTAGGAATGGATGAAGATGATCATTGAGCCCATCACTGTCCATTCTCCAAAGATGGTCTCTGAGACGCCATAGGCCACCACGCACAGGGCCACGAGAAACTCCAGCAGGCGGTAAGTGCCATTCACATAGTAGATGACATCGTCCATGTTTTCTACTGGCTCTTTTCTGAATTCCTCGACCATAAATAAGACATAAATAAACAGTGTTCCCAGAACCTGAAAAAAAAAAAGGTATGCATATATAATCACTACAAAAAGTTTTTCACAGACTTTAAACAATAACATATTAGTAATACCTTTAGGATGTTAGATTTAATGTGCAGAGGAGACAGTGGTGTAATTAAAATGTGGGTGATCTCAGTAATGCAGATCTTTGATACTGAAAAGGACCCTGAGTTAACTTTCTTAAAGATGATTCTAATTAGTAATCAGTATTCTCTGACTTATCCTTTCCCCTGCTCCCCAAGCCCTCAAAATTCTATCTGAATTTTCCTAATTCCGTTATTCACGCCTGTTCCTCAACTTTCGAAGAACCTTTACTTCTACCAGGAACAATGAATAAATCTGTATCATCAGTGCTGCATTCTTATTTGTTACTGATTAGGCAACCAAGTTCCACCTGCAAGTTACAATATGCTTCTCCATTCCATGGTAATAGTTTGTGTGTATATATGTGTGTGTAAAGTACATGTCTGTGTATATCATATCTGTGTATATCATATCTATGTATATCATATCTGTAACATACACAGATATCATATATTTATATATATTATGAAATAATGGATATTTTCAAATAGGCATTTACTTAAAAGTGTGTTCCAAACAAGCACTAAAATCTTCTAATATTTTATAGTCACTTATCTATTTAAGGTTTTCATGACATTATGTCATGCGACATAATGTCTATGTCATTACAGTGGCGCAGACTGGCCTAGTACTTCAATAACCTCTAGTAAAGAGCATGGGAAGAAATCACCTAAAAAGGCCACTTATAATTGTTAACCTTGAAAAAGTTTGCAATTCCTTTTCCAGAAGGAAAAATAAGAAAGTTATTTATTATACAAAGTTCATTAATCATGGACTTACCTGAAGAGAGGTGAGAATGCTGCTAGAAATAATGATAAGAAGCCAAAAATCCATGTGGAAAAACTGGCAAATCATGTAAGCCATATAAGCAGGGAATACCAGTAAAAATAAACAAAGGCTCACCGCACGGAAGTGTTTCCATAAACTCCTAAGGAAAGAAAAGTATTCTTTTAACGTGTCTGTCACCTAGCAGGACAACCCACAGGTCTTGTGCCATGCTTCAATTTCACAACATTTTACCACACACCTTTCTCCATGCCAGCCACAGGGCTAGATTTCAGTGCAAGTCATGCCCAAGGCGTCGTACTTCCAAGAACATGACTGATTTCTTTTCCCTTAACCTGGGGCACTCAGTCAATTGCCAAGTATTACCAATTCTTTTTTTTTTTTCCCTCAATAATTTGCTTTCAGTCTCATTCTCACTCCTAGCAATTTCAGGCTTTCACAGCATTAAACCTTAACAAGTTTGACAGTAATTTGCTTTGTTAAGTCAGGACATTCTCTCCTCACCTGCAACACCCTTGATGAAAATCTCTGCGGCCATCTGTGTGACCGTAAGTGCAGTGTTACTGAAAGGAATGGCCCTCAATGAGCAGGCATATTACCCCTCATGTGTGCTGAAGATGAGGAAAAACTAGGAACCATGGAAATCTAAGACCTACTAGCGGATCATCCTCCCTTCCTGCCCCTATTCCTAAAAAGATTAATCATCCTAAAGCTCAACTAGCATAATACTGTCATTACTGTCTCTAAACTTCCTAAACTTTCTGAACTCCAAGCATCTGAGGGCCTCCACTCCCAATTTTTTGGCTCAAACTCACCAACATCTGTCCTTCACTATAAGCAACGATGGCTAATTGTCTTCCCAGAAAAACACAAGCAGTCTCAAATATCCCACCAGAAATGCCTCCATCCCATCTTGTTTTCTAAACCCTTTAAACTAGTTCAAGCTAAACAAATGTATTTATACAGGTAATGTAATTTTTCCCCAGGAATTACCTACCCTCTAAGAATTCGTAACACCTGTACCAAAGAATCATACAATGAACTGAAGCACTGTTTCTTTCAAAATATATTTATATATAATACATTTTATATATATCATATACATCTAAATACCTTTATATTTTTACTTTATATTATTTAAGTAAACATATTTTTATATATGTATGCACATTAAAAAAAAAGTCTTACTGTCCAAATTTAAACTGCTTGAAAAATATGATAACTCCAACTCCTGAGCACAAAGGCATGTTTGAAGTAAGTGCCAAATAAAACTCAAAAATTATTTCTGCTTGAAAATTTTGAAATTACTTTCCATCTATTACTAACTTTTCTTACCTACCCATCTATCCACTCAAGTGCAAAGCACTATGATGTAACCAGGACAAAAGCTAACCATAACTATTACATGCAAGAATAGTTACACATATAATGTTATGCTTTTAACACACACAACATATCAAGAGATTCCTTAGATTTCAGCTTTTGGTTCCATTTGAACCCTCCTTACTATCAATAGTGGAATACACAGTAGGAGCCCCCTGGTTACCACAAAAAAAGGAACATAATCTTTTCTTTTGTTTACATCTTCATACACTGTAATATTCTAATAGATAATTCCTTAAATATATTCCAAATTTAATACAGATTGTATATTAATTTCTAAAAGAAAAATGACACAACCCTCCCATAACAATTACCTTAAGCAGAACTTTGAAAAACTCTATTTATGCAAAAAAAAAGAAAAGAAAGGTATGATTTTCACCTCCTACAAATTTACTGCTTACTTTATATTGGGTTGGCCAGAAAGTTCAGCCCAGTTTTTCCATGCCATTATGGAAAAATCTGAACATAAACTTTCTGGCCAACCCGATATATTCAATTTATAAGCTATCTGATGATGGAATGACTTATTACCCCAACAAGGGATTTAAAAAGATGCTAGATAATTCCATTTACTGGACAAATAAAAGCCAAAGTTGGAGTAATTGTGTAACATAAGGATCACAAATCTAGAAATCAGCATGAGCCCCAGACAGCTGTCCCCTCTCTTAAAAACAAAACTCAATTATAATCTATGTAAACTGAACACTGAGACTTAAATCATTTAATGATTTCCTATAAAACAAACCCAGATTATTTAAAAACATTATAAGAAAACGTGAATTTCAATCAAAATAATTTAAAGTTCATGGCTACAACAAAATTATGCTGTTTTAATTAAATATCAGCATCTGTGATATGGGCTTCCCTGGTGGCTCAGAGGTTAAAGCGTCTGCCTGCAATGCGGGAGACCCAGGTTCGATCCCTGGGTCGGGAAGATCCCCTGGAGAAGGAAATGGCAACCCACTCCAGTATTCTTGCCTGGACAATCCCATGGACGGAGGAGCCTGATAGGCTACAGTCCACAGGGCCACAAAGAGTCGGACACGACTGAGCGACTTCACTTTCACTTTCTGTGATATGTTCTCAAATCCACTGGAACTACTGCAAGGGAGACAGAGAAGTAGCATAAATCATCCTCCCTACCTTTATTATAACATGGGGCGGGGGAGGAAAAGAAACCACACAAAGGTAAATGCTGTAGTGTGTGTGACTGTCCACAATCAGCAATTCTAATTAGAAGAAAGTAAATTATCATTGTAGTAAAAATTAAAGCTAGGTACTTTGGAAAGTGTTTTACAGCTTTTCCTGTCAAACATTTTTCTTATGAGACGTTAAGGGACAAACTTAAACTGCCACTGTAGCTCTGCTTTAAGATTCCAAACTTTTATTTAAAAAAAAAAAAAGCAGAAAGGAATTATTTTAACAATAGCTATTGTAACAATAGCTATAATAGGGCAATTTGCCTGAAAACTTTAAGCATATTTTTAAAAATCAAGCTAGCTATGATCCACTAACATCATGTAGGTATATGATGTGAAGTTGCTCAGCTGTGTCCGAATCTTTGCAACCCATGGACTGTAGCCTACCAGGCTCCTCCATCCATGGGATTTTCCAGGCAAGAGTACTGGAGTGGGTTACAATTTCCTTCTCCAGGGGATCTTCCCAACCCAGGGATAGAACCCGGGTCTCCCGCATTGCAAGCAGACGCTTTACCGTCTGAGCCACCAGGGAAGCAATGTAGGTATATATTTGCATATATTTATACATGTACATAGAAAAGTAAATACAAAACTATGCCAACAGTTTTAACCTATAATTTAACCTATAATTTCTGTTTTAGATACACACAAACATTATATACATATATATCCTTATTTCAGTTAAAATTAAACAAAAATCTAATTTAAAATTAAAAATAAAAAGTATATCATAAAGTGATACTGGAAATTTGTTCCATTAACAGGTTAAGTACTTACACGGTAAAAAATAATTTTTTTAATTCACCTCAATCCATTTCATTTAAATGTTGATCATTTAAAAATTCGCTATATAATTTGAATACAACAGACTATACTTGTAAAATTCCATGATAAAAACTGTAATCAAATTTACAGATAAAAGTAACAATTATATCTACAGCTAAAACTATCTGAGGCACCTTTTTAAGTTAAACACTGGAAATTACCTCTAGTCCAACCAATACCAAAGACATGTGAGGATGTCCCCCTAATAATTACCTGCTTTGTAACAGAGACAAGCAGTGTTTCTGTATTACCTTTTAATTGTTCTTCAGAATTAGGACATTCTTCATTTCGCTTTTTTAATCCCCAGTGCAGTTAACTGAATTAATCATAATCTTCGATTCAGAATGCACTATCTTTATTGGTCTGTGCAAGTCCCTCTTTTCATTTGTTTTAATAATAATTCAACCAGCAATTTTAAATACCTAAACTTCAAAAGGCATTTATACCCTAAGTATTTACAGCTTAAGTATTTACACCTGAAGAACTGATGCTGAAGCTGAAACTCCAATACTTCAGCCACCTGATGTGAAGAACTGACTCACTGGAAAAGACCCTGATTCTGGGAAAGATTGAGGGCAGGAGGAGAAGGGGACGACAGAGGATGAGATGGTTAGATGGCATTCCTGACTCAACAGATATGAGTTTTAGCAAGCTCTGGGAGTTGGTGATGGACAGGGAAGCCTGGCATGCTGCAGTCCATGAGGTCGCAAGAAGTCGGACACAACTAAGCAACTGAACTGAACTGAAACTGTAACAAGCATTCATGAACCCATCTCTCTGTAAAAAAGAGGGCCTGGGCCATAATCTACTCTAAGCATGAGGCAGCTGGACTATTCTAGGACCTGCCTCCCTTCACCCAATGAAACCATTTCATGAACCCTGTGCTCTTCACTCACTTGATTGCTTCCTTCACATGTGCCGCTTCATCCACATGTATCCCTAAAGAGTGTCTTTTAAAATTCTGTTTCTAACATAAAAATGACATTCTATATTGTCATCTTTCTTGACTTATTTATATACTGCTATGAATCATTCATAATGTTTAATGTGTCACTAATGCTTTTAATATTCCACTGTAGCTATTATCACATTGATTCACCCCCTTTCCTGTCTGATTAGTGTATGATTTGCTCCCAGGTTTCTGCTGTTGTGAAATTGATGAACATTCTTCTGCATGTCCCTCCTGAACATGTGCAAGAATGTCTTGAGTATGTACATAGGAGAAAATGCTAGTTTTCCAAAGTGATTACACTGATTTACGTTCCCACCAGAAATCTAGCATATCCTGGGACCTACATTTTCTTCTAGCTTAGGTATCAGCTGACCTTCTCTCTCTCTCCCCGCTCTTCTTTTTAATTTTTTAACAGTTTATTCATTTATTTGGCTGCTCTGTGTCTTAGTTGCCGCATATGGGATCTAGTTCCCTGACCAGGGATTGAACCCATGCTTCGTGCATTGGTAGCGCAGGGTCTTAAACACTGGACCACCGGGAAGTCCCTCTCCCTTTCTTTTTTCCTTTCTATTATTTATTCATTGCCACTTCCATGGGTTCAAAACAGTAACTCTGAGAGGTCTTGATTCACATTTCTTTGACCACTAAAGACACTGAACCTCTCTTCATATTCATTGTTTGCTCTTTCACTAAAAGCCTGATGGTGTATTTTAGCCACTTCACTCACTGATCTGAGCTGTTTATATATTCTAGATACTAATTCTTGGGCAAGTGTGAATACTATAAATATCTTCTCCCAGTTTGTAACTATCATGTCTAATTTAAGTTACCTTTAGGTTTACAAAATGTTATTAATTTTAACAATTAGATTTACCACTTTTCTTTCATAATCATAATCATTTTAGTCGGTCTTTTCACAACCAGCTCCATCAGTTTAACAAATTTTTTTTCCTCCTTGAAGGTCTAAAATATACTACTCTATGCAGATTTAATTTTTTATTTTGACATTTAAGCCTTTACAATTTTGGAGCTGATTCTTTTGTTTATGGCTATGAGATAGGAATCCAATTCCATCCTTTTCCAAATAGAAATCATTTTTTTCCAGCTACATTACATGACCACCTGCCCTAATCACCTGACATGCCCCTCTGTCATGCACCAAAGGTCCATACATATATGGACTTGCTTGGGGGCTCCATTCCATCAGTCAAGTTGTCTGTACCTGAGTCAATTATTATAAAAACTTCATAGTATCTCCTATTTTGAGTGAAATAAACTTTACCTTTCTCGAGTTGTCTGTTTTGATTTCAATATGGATTTATACTGGCTTCAAAGAAGGGGAAGGGCTGGGTGGAAGGTTCTTTCTATGATTTGGAAGTCTCTGTTTAAAGCATGGATATCTGCTCCTTGGATTTCTGGTAGCATTTGCCTCGCCTGTAAAGCCACCTGGGTCAGGATGTTTACCTTTTGTTTCCATTTCTGTAACAGTTACAGAACTAGCCAAGCTTTTCAATTCTTGAATCAGCTCTGGTAAGTTATATTTTTCTCACAACTTTTCTGTTTCATTTGTTTAAAAAAAAAAAAGAAACAAGTACTGCCATTTAAGTCATGGGAAAGAAGAACAGAACCCAACTGTTCATTCCCATCTCATCCTCTCACACCAGGAGCCTCACTTGACTCAGACTAATAATGCTGCTATATGCAAGAGTCACAGTGACACCCATCCAAAATTACCACTCCACACCCACACACAGGGCTTCTCAGTCTTGCTCCTTTCCCTCTAAATTTCCTCTGCATTTGATCTCGGAGGAAGAAGCCAGTAACGATGCTAGTTCAGCACCCTGGAAAGACCCAGAACTGGATTTACTGATCCTTATAGCACTGAAATTATGATCTTTTTTCCTTTCCCAAACTTTCTATAGTATTGTATTAGTCTTCTAAGTAGCACAGTTAATAATACTAAAGGATACTACCAGAGATGACAAAAGAGTAATTGAACTTTGGTCAAAACAATTTAAATGACTATTTAACTGAGTTCACCATTGAATTCAACATCTTAAAAGCTTCTATTGAGAAATTCTAAACCTCAAAACCAAATCTCAAATAACTATAATGATTAAAATTATCTGAAACATATCCAAGAGTTTATTTAAATTAAATTGACTCTTTCAGCAATTTTACCACTTGAGAAAGTTTTCAGAATGTTTGACAATATGGGATATGAGGATAGAAAGGTAAACCTGATTAACCATAATTAAAATGCTAATCTGGAGTGTTTTCAAACTCTTCTGTCAAAATTCTATCTCCCCCAAGGCTACCTGCTCCCTTACTCATAAATGTACCACCAAAGAAGCAATTAAATCAGATATTTCAATAATCAATAATCAGAATGTACAGAAGGATGCTGGAAAAAAATAGTGGCACTGAACTTAAGCAATTCCTTATAGTATGTCCTTATATAAATTACCATAAGCCAAAATGATATCTTAAAGAGCCAAATCATAATTGGCTTTTATTCATTAAGAAAATATTTGTAATATGAGATGAATGAATTTGAATCCAGTTGGTCCCAAAGGTGTCAAGAATCCCCATTATAACCTCAGTTAGCTGCAAACAAGCCATCAGGTAAGACTGTAGAAATTTCATTAATGCCTGACAACCTTTATTTTTCTCTTCTTCGTTTGTAGTTTCTCAATGTTTCCTCTCCTTTAGTACTACACAGAATAAAACTGTATATTATTTGTTACATTTACTGGACTAAATTTTATGCTCTATATTCTTTATTTCAAAACTGGATATATATAAAAAAGTATTACATTTCTTTGAAGAAGAAAAGCTGATTTGTAAATTACTTGGCCTTTAATGTGATGTTGAAGGAAAAACAACAGAAAAGTCAAACACATATAAAAATTAAAAATGTAAAGTTGTTAATAAGCTAATACCAATTATTCATATTATCTTCTTTATCTAAACAATATCTAAATCTTCAGGCTCATGTAAAGAATACAACAAAAATGTCTTTTAGGAAGTTTCTTACTTGTCTCTAGATGCTCCCAGTGCCAAAACAATAGGATCTGCAATCTCTAACATAGACTGGAGAATAGAAGCTACAACAATGAAAAGGATAATACTGAGCAGGAATGCCCGGTGAACAACTTGCAGTTCTATCAGACCAGTCTGCACCGCCAGGATTAACAGCGTAACTCCTTCTGTCATGCCCCTGGAAAAGCGTTCAGAAAAACAAACAGTAATGAGAATCACATTTAAGAAAATCATCCAAAGGTTTAGACTATTGTTACATATTTCTGCTCTATTCTTAGACAAAACACCTGATCAGAATATTAATGTCAATGTAGTAATATACAATCATAATGTAGCATTACATATGCAAAACATAATAGCTATAATTTCAGCATACAGTGAGGAGAACCAAAGCAATGTCTAAGATAAGTAAAAGTGCTCTAACCAGGTTTTGCTAATGAGCCAGATACCCCTACCATTCTTAGCCACTGTACCCCTAGCCACTGAATTATATATACTTATATTATGAACTGGGCTTCCCAGGTGGTGCTAATGGTTCCTGCCAATGCAGAAGACGTTAAGAGACACAGGTTCCATCCCTGGGTCGGGAAGATCACCTGGAGGAGGAAGTGACAGTCCACTCCAAAGACCCTGGCCAGCTACAGCCCAGAGGATCACAAACAGTCAGACACGACTGAAGCAACTTAGCACGCATATTATGAACTATCTCCTGATTATAAAATATAGAACCATTAGGTGAATGTCTATAATTTTTGGGTAGGAAATGTCTCTTCAAGAAGTCCATAAGAACCAGAGACACAAATACAAATACTTTTTTTTGAAATTCAATTTCCTTATGGAATATATATACAAAGTCCTAGGACATTTTTATCCTAATGACTTGAATTCCAAGGATCTGGCAAATAAATGAGAAATGAGCAGAGGATAGGTACAGTTTTCAAATTCACAAATTAGCAAATATTTCAAAGTTTAATGATCAAAGTACTGACAAGCTATGTAAAAAAAAATGAGCAGAATAATGTGGAGATGTAAATAGGTAAAACATTTCTGGAGAAGAATCTGCTAATAAAATGTACATACCCTTCAATTCAATAATCTTACTAGTAATTTACCCTATGGATGTAGTACAAAAATTAAGATATATAAAGATTTTTAGGATATACAGATATGAAAAAGTGAATAATGGAACATGTTATGTGTTATGGGGATATGATCAGTAAAATCCAGACTGAAAAATTAAGTAGGACAAACAATCTGATGTCTTCAACAAATAAAATTAAAGGGAAAAAATATAGAGATAACAGGGACCTAAATATTGAAAGAAACTTGAGAGGCACACCCAACCTTTGCAATATGGGCCTTATTTGGATCCTGAGTTGAGCAAACGATATGTTTTTTTTAATTCAGGCAGATAATTCAAGGAAATACGAACACCAACTGGGTATTTGATGTCAAGGAATTCTTCTATTAGAAATAAATGTTCTATTGTAGTTACGTTTTTTTCCTAAAAGATTCAGAGGTAAAATAATACTGTATTTGGAATTTGCTCCAAACAAATGCAGTTAGGTTATGGGAAAAAACAGGTGGAATGGATGGGATGCACAGCACATGACCCTGGCCACATCACTGGAGATGGGTGCTAGGTACCTACATGGGGGTTCACTTTACTGTTTTCTCAACTTTTCTGGTTTAAAATTTTCCTATGTAAGGGTTTTAAGAAAGAGACATGAACAAAGATACTAATAGTAGCATTATTTAAATAGCAAAAAAAAGAGAGATACATTATTTTTGTAATAATATGCATTCATCAAAAAGAATGAGATGTATCTGAATGTATTGACATAAAAACAAAATATAGAAAACCTATCTAACCCATACTGAGTGACAAACTAAGGTATAGAACAATGTGTATAGTATGTGGAAAAGAAAAGATATATATATATACTTTTCCCTATAAAAAATTTTTAAAATAACCACTTATAGCTCTTATCTTTGTGGAGAGGAAATGAGAAGTAGGAGGGGAAAGTGACAACTTAGTGCTCTTTGAATGGTATGAATTCTGTGAACTTAAACAAGAATTATTTTTCTTTCTTGTTCCCAGCCCCTCTTTCCATTATAAAGCTATTATCTGGGACTGGCAGGAAAATTACAGAGCATGGGTTTTTTTCTTTTCTGTCATCAAAAAACTAATATACAACAAAAATATCCTCTCAATTTACAAGGTACTCAGCATCCACTACTTCTGAAATACACCATAAAGATTTAAATACTTCAAGAGGTTATGTAAACTTAAATAAATAAAATCAGGAAACCTCTATATTAATTAAGATAACAGGAGTCGTGACAAATTCTAAAGATAGTTTCCTATTACCTGATCTCAGTAATTTAATAACAAATGGAATAACTATTCTGCATCCTCATTAATTTGTCTTTTGAAACTTCAATTGGTATAAAAATTATGTTCAAACATAAAAAAAAAAATCTTTAAGGGAGTATCCAATATAGAAACCTGATTTTAGCAGTGACACAAATCCAGAATGGGAAAAAGCTACCAAAAATCTCTTAAATAAATCTAAGAAAGGAAAGTATCTAATATACATGTTATATACATACAATAAAAATACAATTTTTATACACAGAAATTTAGGGGTTTTTTTTTATAGCATGTTAACCCAAATATAGCAACCATTTCCCCCCAAAAAAGTCCTCAAAATTCCATTTCCTCTAAAATTTATCAACAAAGAAATTCATCATTATTTCTTTAAGTTAGATAAGATTTAAATTTCTAGAGCTGTTCAGAGCAAAGAACTTACCGATTCATGGCAGGATCATTCATGAAAGCTCGGTAACCCTGCAAGTAAAACTTGCAGAGTGTCAGAACACCCAAGGCAACAAAAGAAACCGTGAAGACCAAACCCAAAAGTGAGTAAGGAGTGCTGCAGCATTCAGCAATACTAGAAAAAAAAAGGGGGGGGCGGAATATTGACAGATAAAAATTGTTTCCCTAAAGTTTAAACATCTTAGGCCTTTAAATAACCACAACGTTTGATCTGACCCTCAATGAAAACACCCAAAATCTGAGATGAGATCACCTAACCACTCTGTTAAAATAATTTAAATCCATTCTCATTATTATCCTAACCTCATTTTCTCTTTGGCAAATATTTAGTACATAGCACCAAATCTGAAACAGTCTTTTATTTTTATTTATCTATCATCTCCTCCAAAGGTAGTAAAACTTGAAGGGCCTAAACCTTGTTGAAAGCTTAAGAAATAGATAACTAACATACTGATAATATTCAAAGGAAATGCGTACGGTTGCCCACTTTTCCTTCTGAAAAGCTTTGGCTGTTCAAGCTGATCAGGCGGTACTGCTCATGTGGTTACTCATTGAAACGCCCTCTTGGATCATCCTGTTACAGGCCTGTCCACACTGCAGCTGCCAACCTCACTCCAACAGTGGCTTCCACAGTACTGGCGCTTTACACCTGAACTCATGTTTAGGTAAATGCATTCTTTTTCTGGGTTACTTCAAAAGTTATGTCCAAGAAGACAGCCTAAGACCATTTAAAAATAATTTTAATGTCGATTTTTAATAAGGAGAACTGGACTTACACTAAACCTTGAAAATACTTTCATGTTTTATAGAAATACGTTCAATACTTTCATTGAACACATTAGAAAATAATTTAACAAGTATTTTGCAAATATATGTAACAAATTAATGTACCATTAATTTGGATTTAGCATTTACAAAGCAACTAATAAAAAAGGTTCAAAGCACAGTATCTCAAGTTTTAAAATTTCAGTGACGAATTTCATTTGCACTGATGAGGAATTCATTCAGGCAAATCAGTATCTGCCCTTCACTATGCAGCTCCTTGCCTCTGCTACATTTACACAACTGCTTTTAAAGTTACTTTTTATGTGAAAACATCTAATTTCATGTAGATCAGTGTGCATTATGATGCAGAAAAACAAATTTTTTTGGTTTTTCCATTAGGAGCTGATCATGACAGTTCACAGCTAAAGAATAAACAATTTTATGGCATTCTTATAAATCTAATTTCTGCAATGTTTGATAGTTTTCTCAGAAAAATCATTATGTAACATATTTCAACAAATTGCCCAGTAATTTAAAAATATGAGGATCATGACTAAAAATAACACTAAAAATTTTACTTCATTCCCATTGGAAAAGTCTGAAAATTTTACTGTTATGTTCATACAGTTTATTTTTTCTTGTGTCCATCTATATTTAAAGAAATCTTTTACACCCAAACAGTACAATTTAATTACATTTTCAAGAGGAGCACATTCTTTCAGTCTTACTTTAAAAAAGAGTGTGGTGTCATTTTTCAAAAGAGTATACTAAAGAACACAAAAGGTTTCAACCTAGCTTTGGGGAAGTGAAAGAGGTCGGGAAATTTATAAAATTTTTCTTCCCTTCTCTCGTCAATGAGACATTTTATTGATTTTAGTTTCTATTTCCTGGCTGCAAAAAATCCCTTCTTTTTGCTTTTCAGTTTGTTTGCTATGTTTTCTTGGTTTGTTTTAGTCAGGGTACTGTGGTAAACCTGAGATCCTGTTTGTACGTTAACTTGTCCTTTGACAAGGCAACACACACACACAAACTGGCACACAAGACCATCAAGTACGAAGAACAGGCTTTCAGAGATACCCATTAAAGAACCTTCTCTATTACAAATTAGAACATTCTTATACGGAGAAGCGGAAATCTATCCTACGTATGGAAAAGGAATAGAGAAGAAAATTATTTGGGAAGATGTCTAAGCCTCACCTAAAATCTCAGCATTATTTTCTTACTCCATAAGCTGGAACGCATTCACAGCTTTTTGATTTGTTAAGCCTCTTACACTATACTATGCTTCATTTGATCGTGCTTCACAATGGATAATAATCTGGTTTAAAACAAGACCAATCGCAGCCCACATTTAGGTTATCCTAACCACAGAACTATGTATCTCTCTTTCCCTTTAAATTCAGTTACCTTCTGGATCATTTTAAAACTCTGCATAAAATTTCCATAATACTTAAAAACAAGTAACAGTGCAACTTAATAACATGCTGGCCATTAAAACATATTTGATATCAATTTTTACCGTGTTATATAGAAGCTACTTTCTAATTAAAAGTCTCAGCACAAAATCTGACTCAATGCCAATAAGTTATTTTATTTGTCAAAACAGGTATCACCCCATGTCATCTATACATTTAACTTCGTGATGTTTTCAATCTTAACAAGTAACCTGCTCCTTAAAGAGAATCAATCTGTCCTAAGCTTCTCCTCCCAGATACCACTTAGTGCACGATACACCATCATTTTAGATGGCTGGGAAACTAACTAGTGGCTCTATTAACTAAAATTCAAAACTTGTATTCGCCTATATTTACTTCCCAGGAGGAGTTTCTTTCTTGCCTTTTAAAGTGTTTCCTTTTAAAGAGTCAGGGAATGAAGATGTAGACCCATCTGCCAGATTCTGAGGGCTTGAGGTGGAAAATTCAGAAAAGGAAAAGGACAAACGTCTAGATAAGCTCACAGACAGGTGGAAAATGGACTCTAAAGACTGAAGATTTTTAAAAAATAATTTACCTTAAAAACCAAGTGTTAAAAAAAAAAACAACCAAGTGTTAGAATTCCTTTCAATTAAACAGCAAAGTACTATGATATACTCATTTTATCATTATTTGACTCTATCTCAAAAATGAAGGAAAACATCAAAAATAACGGGGCAGGGAATTCCTTGGCAGTCCAGTAGTTAGAATTCTGTGCTTTCCCTGCCCAGGGTGCAGGTTTACTTCCTGGTTGGGGAACCAAGATCCTACAAGATGAGTGTATCGCTCAAAAAAAAAAAAAGGGGGTATAGTGAAAGTGTATACGCAGCCATAGGATTTGGACTCAGATGGGGTTTGAATGTCAAAACCCCTTCTTCTGGCACTGTCACCTGGGGCAAGTTATTCTTGGTACAGTTTCCTCAGCTCTAAAATGGTAATGAGAATAAAAGCACCTTTCTTGGAGGGTTGCTATAAAAGTGAGTGTGAGTAACTGTTTAATAGCGTGGCTGGCACATACTGTTGTTGTTCAGTCACTAAGTCATGTCTGATTCTTTGCGACCCCATGAATTGCAGCACACCTGGCTTCCCTGTCCATCACCAGCTCCCAGAGCTTGCTCAAATTCATGTCCATCGAGTTGGGGATGCCATCCAACCATCTCATCCTGTCGTCCCCTTCTGCCCCTGCCTTCAATTTTTCTCAGCATCAGGGTCTTTTCCAATGAGTCAGCTCTTTGCATCAGGTGACCAAAGTATTTGGGTTTCAGCTTCAGCATCAGTCCTTCCAATGAATATTCAGGATTGACTGGTCTGATCTCCTCGATGTCCAAGGGACTGTCAAGAGTCTTCTCCAGCACCACAGTTCAAAAGCATCAATTCTTCAGTGCTCAGCCTTCTTTATGGTCCAACTCTCACATCCATACATGACTACTGGAAAAACCATAGCTTTGACTAAATGGAAGTTTGTCAGCAAAGCGATGTTTCTGCTTTTTAAAACACTGTGTAGGTTTGTCACAGCTATTCTTCTAAGGAGCAAGGATCTTTTAATATCATGGATCTGCATTGATTCTGGAGCCCAAGAAAATGAAATCTGACACTGTTTCCACTTTTCCCCCATCTATTTGCATTGAAGTGATGAGACCCCAAAGCCATGATCTTTGTTTTTTGAATGTTGAGTTCTAAGTCAGCTCTTTCATTCTCTTCTTTCACCTTCATTGAGAGGTTCTTTAGTTCCTTTTCACTTTCCACCATTAAAGTGGTATTATCTGCATATCTGAGATTGTTGATATCTCTCCCAGCAATCTAGATTTCAGCCTTTGAGTCATTCAGCCCAGCATTTCGTATGATATACTCTGCATATAAGTTAAATAAGCAGGGTGAACCAACATACAGCCTTGACATACTCCTTTCCCAATTTGGAACCAGTCCGTTGTTCCATGTCCAGTTCTAACTGTAGCTTCTTGTCCTCCACACAGGTTTTTCAGGAGGCAGGTAATGTGGTCTGGTATGTCCATTTACATATTAAATACTCAATAAAAGTAATAGCTATTTTTAGAACGCATTTCTTTTCCAATAGTTTAACATGAAGTCGAAAAAACATTTTTACAATTTGTGACATCCCTTTCCACAAATCATTTGCTGTACTATGGTCCACAGTGTGGCCAAATAAACCATCATTATTGTATTATCACGTCCTTGCACTGCGAAACCTAGGCATCTGCTGAGTGAAAATCCCATTTTAATTACACATGAAACACTATAAAGACTGACAAAAGTTAATTTGCAACACTTACTATTCCTGGATCAAAGTTTTCTCTTCCTAAGGCTATATATAGTGTCATACGGTCTAATTAATTACCTTGTCAGGAAAAGGAAAAGAAGCCTCTCTCGTGAGGCAGGCTGATCTCGAGTACTGAAGTAGGAGTAAATCTGAAGAGCAAATAAGACGAGCCAGAAAACCATGAACAATACAGGGACTACCAGCTGATTCCACAGGGACATTCCCAAGGCTAGAAGGCCATACACCTCCACTACCTGAGTAAGAAAATAAGACAGGAAAACATCTTTTATCACTTCAATAAACACATTTAAACACAAAAGTGTTTAACCTGCAGTACTTAAAAACTGAATTGCTTTTTTTTTCTTACATATTCAGATAAATTCCTCCAAAGTTAGCTCTATGCATACAATTAGAAAATAGCAAGTCTTTTTTAATCTACTAATTTTACATTATTATTAGCAGTTGACACACACTCATCAAATGGCAACAGCAAACTGCCCCAACAGTTCAGGAATAATGTCAAAATAGAGTCACATTTGGAGGAAAACTACATCACAGGCAGTTTGAAGAAGTTTGGCAAACTTATGTCGAATCAAAATTAGCAGAACTAGTGTGAACAATGGGCTTCCCAGGTAGCACAGTGCTAAACAATCTGCCTGCCAATACAGGAGACAGCAGAGACTTGGGTTCCATCCCTGGGTCGGGGAGATCCCCTGGAATAGGAAATGGCAACCCAGTCCAGTATTCCTGCTTGGAAGATTCCATGAACAGAGGAGCCTGGCGGGCTACATACAGTTCATGGGGCGCAAAGAACTAGACGCGATTAAGCGATGGAACATAGAACACGGCATAGTGTGAACAATGCAATACTGCTTGAGGGGCTGGGAAGAAGGGAAATAGACAAGAATCTTCCAGAGTTTATTCAGGAATATCATGGATGAGAAGTAGTTTGACGGAAGACAGAATAATCACTGGAGAAGTTAACTCTCTTTTGCAGCAAAGACAGTTTAGAAAGTCTTTTCCCCCAGATAAATTAATTCCCCTTGCTCCTACTGTGTATTTATCAAGGAACATTTCTCAAATGATTTCGTTTGCCAAGTGTATTAACACCAGGAAAAAAGGTATACCTAAGAAAAGTTTACTAAGTTACTGTAAGTTAATAAATTAGCTGTCTAGTATATAAAACAATCTCATATGAGATTGATAAGAAGGAATTCTCATAACCTGATTCAGCCTAAGAGTACAGATGGTTACCAAGCTTCTGGAGTTATCAAGACAGGGACCAGATCCTGGTAACACAACAGAGTTCTGCCAGGTAGATTACAAACTCTAACCTAAGCAGCCAACAGTCTTGCTAGAAGGCTCAATGTGATTCCAGAATGTTTCCATAACTATAAAGACCTTAGATGAAAATATACTGACTTGCAGATTATTCTAAACTTTTTCATCTGTAAATCAAATGCTTTTTCTAAAACTGAATCAAGAGTAACCCCTATTTTTCCTCACTTGGAAGATAATGAAAGAAAACAAAGTGTCTAGCTTGCTGCAAAATTATTTATTTGCAGCAAACTGATTACTGAGAGGCATAGTACTTTTTCTCCTTTCCATTCAAGGAAAAGACCACTAAATTATCTGACAGTTTCTATTTCTTGCCTATCCAATTCTTTCTAGGTCATGAATTTCATAACCTGTATTTTATTTCCAACAATGACGCTTAGTGATACATGAACCTTATGACAAACAAGAAGGTAAACATGACACTTAAAACAGAGGCTTTGTCCTTAGGGTAATTAAATAAACAATGAGTATCCAAGCAATATTTACTGAATATCTACTGCTCCTTACAAACTAGGGTAGCACCACAAGATTGAATTCAAATAAAAAATACATAAATATGTCATCCTCACTCTGAATACAACAAACCTTCCCCATGAAGAACCTCTTTAATGTGAAAAAAAAAAAAGATTTTATCTTCTTTGGAAGATCTACTTTCAGGAAACGTTGCTCAAGTTGATCGTTATGGAAGATGAAGAAATCAGGAGAATCAGGCTAAGGTCAAGAGCTTACAGAATTTTCCTGGGAAATCTGCCTTTGGGGCCACAACAATAAGGAAAGGACTCACTTAGCAGTATCAGTATGGTTAGTCTGAAAGCTTCCTGTATCTTAAGGTCATGTACACAGTAAAGAGGCAGAAGAGAATATTTTAATACTCTCTTCATACCAACGTCAATTTTTTTTTCTTTTTTTTTTTTAATTATTTTTATTTATTAATTTTTGGCCATGCTATGTGGCATGTGTGGTCTTAGTTACCCAACCAGGGATTGAACCCATGCCCCCTGCATTGGGAGCATGGAGTTCTAACCGCTGGACCATGAGGGAAGTCCCACCAACGTCAATTTTAAGAGCTATTCTATATACTGAAACTTACTGTTTAAATTAAATACAACTATTTCTTTCCTGAATACCAACTGTTTGTGACTGGAAACAATCCGTTTGAGAGCAAAGACTGAAAAAAGTCGGAGAGACAGAAGCACATTATGTTGGCACAATCAGTCCAAGCACCACATCTAAATGAAATCTGTCATATCACGGCCCAGAACTACTTAATGTCTTGGTTTAAATAAATAAACGTAAGGAAAATACATTAGTCACAGCAGGACTATATCAGGAAAAAAAACATGAACTGACCTCTACATATTCAATTCTATATCACTCCTGTCTTTGTCATAGTAGTTACCACCAAACGTCATCTGCCTGGCACTGAACTCATTCAAATCTAATGGCTACCCTACATGCTAGCTACAACAGTTATTTTAGTTCTATCTTTCAGATAAGTGAACGTAAGTGATTAACCCTAGGTAACACAGCTAGTAAACAGCAGCAGCAGAGTGAAAACTCAGACTGACTGCATCCAGATGAACTTACTTCACTTTACTGCTTCTCAACAGAACTTAAGAATCTCAGATGCTCCTAATTATGTTGAAAATAGTTACTATTTTCCAAGTGTCAAACATAATGTTACCACAACCATGACTGTGAAATACAAGTGAACTAAATCTTTAATATACTTAATATTTATGTAGAATTTTATCTACAGTCTTACCTGAACCAACTCTCTGTATGCAGACTTGGCAAGATTATAAGGTACTAGAAGGTTAGACCCAAGAAAGTAGAGAACTTCCAAACCAGTAAAAATCATAGCAAATTTGTTGATGATAACAATTGTCTCCAGAGGAACAAGGCAGAGGCGTGCTAGCAGAGGAAGCATGTGAGCTGAAAAGAGCCAAATCTGCTTCGTTTTCATGACACAGGAGCATAACGTACACACCACCAGCTGACCTAAAATGAGGGGGGTAGAAGGCATTTTAGATTTGGTATCCACAAAATAAAAACACTGTCGATAATGATGATGACACAGCTTTTGAAGGAGTCTAATTAGGATCTCTTAGATAATATTTTAAATCAAATTTTAACGTCACTTGACCATAATTAAATGTTCACATATCCTGTGAATTTTGAGCACCAGTTCCCTAGGGCTGATCTGAGAAAAGCAGCACAAATATCCACTGGTCTGTATCTCACTCCAGATGGCATATATAACATGGAAATTTTTTAAAATTTCTAATTCAATATTACAATAATTCAGTTACAACTAAATACATTTAGCTCCTTTTACAAAGGCCCTCAATATTTAACTGTTCTAGTCTAGAGGTGAAAGTATAAAACCCAAGAGATACAATAACTTGTCTGAAATCATGCTGTGACAAGACTTATTCTGAGGTTTTCAATCTTTAACTGCTCTTATAGGACCATGCAAGCCTTCCTGTAGGCTCAATAGTGAAAAATTGAAACTCAAGAAGTTTAAACAACAAATTCTTAGAGAGGACTGTGTATGATTATAGAAAGTTAGGAAGTGCAGAGAAGTAAAAAGGAAAAAAAAATCCATCTCCTACAATCCTGTCACCTAAGTTAGGACTGTTCAGGTCTTGGGTTTATTACGTAAAACACTGCATGCAAAGCTGTAGTATTTTATCTGAAACCTAGGCAGTGCTCAAAAAGAGCTATCCATATTATTTATTACCTTTTCAGTTTATTCTATGCATGATTATACACAAATGTTTTATATAAAGATTATAATGTACATATAATCACCTTTTTTCATTTAAAATATATTATGCATATACCTAACTAATAAATATACTAATAAATATATGTATGTGTGTGTATATATAAATATATATGGGCTTTTTTTTTAGTTAAAAAACTGAACACATATGACAGTATTAGCACTTGAATACCTTCAAATATTTGACAATTATAAAATGCTTTGTTATGAATAAGCTTGTATATTTATGACATCCTTGTATAAACTACTTGGAGGACATTTCCTAATGTTTTCTAGCCTAAATTCCTATAAGCGGGATTACTGAGTCAGAGGAAACATTTGTTTAAAGCTTTTGAAACATATGTCAACTGCTCTACAGAAACAAAACACCCAGTGTACAGGGCACCCCTTTTTCCACCTATCTGCCAACAGTGAAAATAATTTAAGAAAAGGAAGGGCAGAAATATTTCCTAATATTTTTTTAAATTTCTCTTCTGTCCATCACCAGTAGCACTGAACATTACCAGGAAGTATATAAAGCAATTGCAATTTTTGACAAAATGTTTGTTCACATTCTTTGCTTATTCTACTAGGATATGTAGACTTCTATTGTTTAAACAAAATATTAACCTCCTTTGTCATATAACTGTATTTTCCCTATCTGTCATTGGAATATATTAGTACCTTTTTTCTCTTATAACATAGAAGTTTTTATTATAAAGAGTCAAATCTATCCACCTTTTTAACGGTTTCTACTTTTGGTGCCATGGTTAATTACATGGCTCCCCCCTACTCAAGGTTATACAAGTAACCACCTATTTTTTCTTTTTTCTTTAATTAAAAAATTAACATATTTGGCAATTGTTTTACAATAAGATAAAAAGCAAAGCTTAAGTTTGCTTTTACAGATGTGTAGTTAGCAGTCTCAAAACTAGCTACTGTAATCAACCAATTCTTTTCTCATTAATTTGAAATGCCATTTTGGTATACTGCAAAATCATCAGTGTATTTGTGTCTGTGCTGGAACTTGCTATTTTTTTTTTTTTCCAGTGATCTTCTCTGATGACAGTACACACTATTCCATTTCATTGACTGGACAAGTCTCCTCTCATTACTCCTCTCAGAATTTCTCAGAAACTCTTGAACATGTTTTCTTCCAAATTAAGAATTAGTCAAATTCTCTTCCTTCTTGCCAATGAAAAGCAAAACAAAATATATGTTTTTTACCATCTTATTCATGCTTTTTTTTTGGGTGGGGGGGGCGCACTGCAGAGCATGTGGTACTTCCCTGAGCAGGGACTGAACCCACACCCCCTGCACTGGAAGCACAGAATCTTAACCACTGGACCACCAGTGAAGTCCTTACTAATCCTTTATTCCATTTTTAAATTTTTTACTGGAATATGGTGATTTCAAATTCAACATTTTTGTATTTTGTGTTCTATTCATATTATTGTTAGAAGAATACAAAATTGGCAACCATTTTTATATAAAGCTGAAAATTTCTTAACAATCTACTATACTGTACGTAACATATGTGGTATTTTTCTCCCACAAAGTATTAATTTTAGTCTTTAAAGAACTGATACTCAAATCACAAGAAAAACATTCATAAAGGTATGAAAAAAGAGAAAAACCCATAAAAATGAAAAAAACTGAGAAGAGAGGCCACTTAATAAGTCAACACAATTTTAAGGGATAGAAAACAGCGATTAGGCCACTAGTCCTTCCCCACGGAAGACTGAAGTTTGCTCTTTGAAAAGGCTGAACAGGCTCCTGGACACTGTGCCACCCAGGGCCGAGCTGAGGTGCAGCGCCCAAATGAAAACAGATTAAAAGTCTGCACCCACAAAGATGACAGCTCTCTAGGTCTCCAAACACTGCTGCCACACTTGCTACCATTCAGCTCTTGTCCCTGGCCACAGTCCACCCTACAGGAGACAGATTCTTCTTCGGGAAACTGACCCAAGTCCAGGGAAGACTACAAATATGCACACTTACTGGGTCCCCCCAATAACGGTCAGTCCCACCTGAACACCAACTGTGAAAAACACCAGTTGGTATGCCTTAAAGAGATTACAACTGGCAACTTAATAATTCACTTTAATACAAATGACAATAGAAGGATATTTAGGTAATAACCAGGTGATTCTAATTCAGGCTTAAGAACTACTGCTGTCCCATATAAGGCAAAGACCAAAACAAAGACAAAAAGAATCTCAGACAAAATGGAAAGAATGCAAGGAACAAAAGAAAGCTTCAAAGTAAATAATCTAAGAAATTAAGAAGACTGTCACAATAGAAAGAAAACAAATTCCAGAATATTAAAAAAAAAAATGACAAAAAAAAGTTGGGAAATCTCAGAAAGTAAAACAAAAAACAGAGCGAGAAAAGGGAAAATAGAACAGTAAAAAAGTTAGGGGTTCGATGTGGAAGAAAGCTTATCCAATTAAAAGGATTTCCAGAAAGGGACAAAAGAGAAAACAGCAGGGAAGAAATTACGGTGAGTTGAAAGGAGAGAAGCTGGACAGGAGAGGAGTACAGGAAAGAGGAGATTTTCATCATAATATTGTGGTATCACCCCCAATAAGTTTTTAAAATTGTGTTTATTTCTTGACTTTTAAAAGTAAGTATTTTCTTTGATTAAAAAATTAGCTGAAACTCTGAAAAAATACTTAAGAGAAAGTGCTTTAATACTAGGAATACTTATGAATTTTCATTTTGGCATCTTACTTTCACTGTACTCATAGCTATGATATTTAAAGTTCCTTGTTCCGCATGATGCAAACTTCCTCTAAGCTCTGAAAGTTGCCACAAGTCTAGGCCAGCACATTCAGTTCTCAGCTCTGAAGTTAGAGGCTTCATTTATCCTCTCTGACAGAAGAGTATGACTCATATGCTATGATTCTCTTGAAGGGAAGACCATTTCTCTTACTTAGGTGAAAGAAGAAAGGAGTCATACTGTTAGTGGAAATCTTTCCGATAGCTCCAGAAGTTGTTCAACTTGATATGCCTATTCCAACTGACAATTCTGAATAAAACAAAATCACAATGTACTCTGGATTTCAGGATTCCTTAAGAACTATCTCCAAGAAGTTCATAACCCTAAGAAAGAATGGCATAGTCATATTACTTAGTTTTTCATTAAAAGTTTATTAGTGAAATGGAAGAAAAGGAGTAGAAAGCTACTTTAAAATCAAAGTCTAAAGAAAAAAATGCTACTTAATAATTTATGGATTTCCAGTTAATTGAATCTTGGCTGGGTGAACACACTATCATAAGCACCGATGGGAAAAATTTAGGGAAATATACAGATTTACACTAAATCAAAACCATCACAGAATCAAAGAAAACACTTCGAGTTTTCGAATCAGACAAATATTTTCATACTTGATGCAAATATTACCACTATTGAATATGTGGTAATATTTGGATGTTACCACTACTGAATACAGCCATGGGATATGGTCATAAAGCAACATTGTTTTTGTGTTCTACTCTCCTAAAAAGCCACTCGTTGAAGCTGAGTGTTCTCCTGCCCCTATAAGGCAAGTTTCATAACTTTTCTAAACTAGTACAGTTTGCACAATCTGATCTAATCTAATCTCAGTCAACTCAAACAAAGCTCTGCTTTAGAGTTGAAGGTTTGCCTTGACTCCAGCTGAGGCTCCTATTGTCGTTCAGTTGCTCAGGGTGTCCGACTCTGTGACCCCGTGGACTGCAGCACGCCTGGCTTCCCTGAGCTTTACTATCTCCAGGAATTTGCTCAAACTCATGTCCATTGTGTTGATGATGCCATCCAACCATCTCATTCTCTGTCGCCCCCTTCTCCTCGTCCTCAATCCTTCCCAGCATCAGAGTCTTTTCCAATGAGTCTGCTCTTCACATCATGTGGCCAAAGTATTGGAGCTTCAGCTTCAGCATCAGTCCTTCCAGTGAATATTCAGGGTTGATTTCGTTCAGGATTGCTTTGATCTCTTTGCTGTCCAAGCGACTCTCGAGTGTCTTCTCCAAGCATCACAGTTCCAAAGCATCAATTCTTTGGTGCTCAGCCTTCTTTATGGTTCAACTCTCAAATCCATACATGACTACTGGAAAAACTATAGCTTTGACTAGACGGACCTCTGTCGGCAAAGTGATGTCTCTGCTTTTTAATAGGCTATCTAGGTTTGTCACAGCTTTTTTTCCAAGAGGAAAGTATCTTTTAATTTCATGGCTGAAGTCACCAACCACAGTAATTTTGGAGCCCAAGAAAATGAAATCTACCACTGCTTCCACTTTTTCCCCTTCTATTTGCCATGAAATGATGGGACCAGACCTATGTAACTCAATGAAGCTATGAGCCCACCATGCAGGGCCACCCAAGAAAAAGAGTCATGATGGAAAGCTCTGACAAAGCATGGTCTACTGGAGAAGGGAATGGCAAACCACTTCAGTATTCTTGCCTCAAGAACCCCAAGAACATGAAAAGGCAAAAAGATATAACTGGAAGATGAGTCCCTTAGGTCTGTAAGTGTCCAATATGCTACTGCAGAAGAGCAGAGAAATAGCTCCAGAAAGAATGAAGAGGCTGGGCCAAAGCAGAAATGATGCTAAGTTGTGAATATGTCTGGTTGTGAAAGTCAAGTCTGATGCTGTAAAGAATACTGGATAGAAACCTGGACTATTTGGTCCGTGAATAAAGGTAAAATTAGACCTGGTCAAGCAGGTGATGTAAAAAGTGAAAATCAATATTTTAGGAATCAGTGAACTAAAAAGAATGGGAATGGGTGAATTTAAATTCAGATGACCATTACATCTACTACTGTGGGCAAGAGGCCTCCTTTGGGGTCACAGAAAACCAGCAATTGTGAGAGGGAGGAGAGAGCTTATGGCAAGCTTCTTCCTCTTTCTCTGCCAGCACAGCGGCATTCTTCCTGACTTGCCCACAGTTGAGGCAGGCAGGCAAGGAGAGGGAGAGAAGTAGAACATTCTTCCTGGACTATTTTCTTACAATGCTACGGTACTGGTACTCTCTGCAGTTGAGATATTTAAAATGGATCTCCTTTCTCATGGGCATTTTTAAGTGTTTTCCTGATTGTTCCCGTTATCATGGATTTTCTAATCTGCATGACCTTTCATGCTTGTTATATACCCTCCTCTGGCTGCTTTTGGTTCTTTCCTTAGCTCCCGGGAATCTGGAAGTACAATGCCTGTTGAAGTCTTCTCATCTTTTTAAGGGCCCTCTTGGAAGGACCTAAGAAAACTCCATTGACTCTTGGGACCCTCATCTAGTCCACAGAAAACTAACATTCTTTGCCTGCAGAGATTAGATGATACAGGAGAATCCCATAAGACATTTTCACTCCACAGTCAGAAACTCAATAGCCAGCCAGCCCACTAGTGGCCTTTATACCAGATTAGAATTATAACATGAGCCATATATGTAATGTTTAATATTCTGGTAGCATCATTTTATTGGAGAAGGAAATGGCAACCCACTCCAGTATTCTTGCCTGGAGACTCCCGGGGATGGGGGAGCCTGGTGGTCTGCTGTCTATGGGGTCGCACAGAGTCAGACACGACTGAAGCAACTAGGCAGCAGCAGCAGCAGCATTTTATGAATTTAAAAACAGGTCAAACTGATTAACAATATATTTTATTTAACCTAATGCATCACAAATATTAGGGCTTCCCTGGTGGCTCAGTGGTGAAGAATCAACCTGCAATGCAGGAGACTCAGGTTCGATCCCTGGGTTGGGAAAATCCCCTGGAGAAGAAGTGGCAACCCACTCCAGTATTCTTGCCTGGAGAATTCCATGGACAGAGGAGCCTGGTGGGCTACAGTCCACGGGGTTGCAAAAGAGTCTGACACGACTTAGTGACTGAACAATAACAACGATCCTAAATATTATCATATAGACATTCAATCTATACCAAAAAATGAACAAGACATTTTGCATCCTTTTTGTACTAAGTTTGATTTGGACTAGTCACATTTCAAGGGCTCATAAGGCACTTGTGGCTTGTTTTGGATGGTGCAGCTTTAGATTTTGCACACCCAGGTAAGACACCAGTCTGCAGGATCCCTCCTAAGACACACACACAAAAAAACTGAGTCTCCAAATGGTCTACCACTGAATTGTCTACATGAGAAGGGCTGGGAAGGTAATTCAGAGAAAATAGCTATCTAAAGAAATTCTCCTACAAATTCCAACATTAAACCTCTTAACACTTTCTACATGGGTGAGTTTAACAAACACATATAAGATTCCTCTCACTTTCTTTTTGCAATTTTGGAATGGTAAGATCTGGTACTTCACTTTGGGCTGCATCTATGTTGTTCTGGGGTCCTACACAATCATTCTATTATAAACATTCTGCTATCTGAGTGTTTCAATCACATCTCAAGTTCTTGATGTTTCTGGTAATTTATTATAGACTAGAGGATAATGGCTTTCAACAACAGTAACCAATATTAAGACATTACATATTTTATTTTAATCTTAGAAAGTAATTATTAGCTTTATTTAAAAACTAACCTTCCCAAACACTTAAATTATCCTTAAAAAATACAAGTAACTACAGGCTATATATAATTATAAACATGTAAAATAAGAAATACCTTATTTAGAGAGAAAAAGACTAATAAGAAAATGGTAACATTTAAAAATAACTGTGTTTTGAAAGAGTCATCAAGAATAACTTCAAGTTTTCCAACTTTTTTGTATTAAGTATGAACTAATTTTATAAGATAGTAATTAATACTTGGTTGGCTCCTACCTACACTTTTGATTCTTTTATAATACTTACCTATTAAGGCTGTGGTAAATCGATTCATGGAGAGAGGTTCTAAATACATTGGTCCTTCATAGGCGGACTCCAGTTCACTCCTAACATAGTCCCTAAATAAGTAAAATGGTAAGAATGTATTAGATACATTCTAAGCACATACAAGAGAGAACAGCAGCTAAAGCACAGTATTTCTATAAAAAATATGTTAATAACACTTCACATCTATACGAAGGAAAATTTTAGGTACAAAAAATTATAGAGGGATGACCTTCATCTCCTTCGTCCATGTGATGAAAATAGAATTCACTGAAACTGAGTTTTACTTGCAGAGAAGCAGCCAAAACTCCACTTTGCTGGATTCTCTTTCTTCCCATGGTCTCATTAAATAATTTATGCCCAGGAAAAAGCCAATTGAGATGCCACCTCTCAACCCTACTACTTAACTGATAACACATAACACTATTACATTAATTTCCCCTTTTTTCATTAGCTTCCATTATCCCTCCCATCTTATTTTCCCCAAAGTTTTTTCTCCAGTTATACTTAATTAGTTATAGGTAAATACACAAACTAGTTAGAAAACTGGCTTGTAGCATGACAATCCTTAAAAGATGTCATTTTCAAGTTTACAGGAAATTTATAATTAGAATTATAATATTTAAGTAGGCTACAAATTTATTTTGAGATAAACATTAAATCAAATCAAATTATTTCTTATAAAACATAGTTCATTTAACATTGATCACTGAGAAATAACAAGATTTAATTAGTGGTCAAAGAGACTTTACACTCTGAGAAAACAGAACTTTTAGGGTAGAGGCAGAAAGGAAGAATTTATTATCAGTTAAGTTCAGCAGTAATAGAACATGGTTGTCTTAAATTCTTCTGACATCAAAGTAGGAAAATTTGTGTTACAAAATTCTCCTTTCCTTCAATTGCTGAATACTTTATTCACTGTACTTTAAAACAGGTTAAATACTTCAAGTATTTCTGAAAAACTCATATGGCTGTATTTACTTTTTCCATGAAATTACTTCCTATTAGGCAATCAAGCGGAATTCCTTTAGCATAACACAGCTAACCAAGAAATGATCCTTACATAATCAGCAAGTGAGTACTGCCAAAAATCAAAAATAAAAACTAAAATAAAAATTTTAAAGCAGTTTTGGGAACAATTATAAAAATCAATGAATGACTAGGCTTCTTGGGTAATTTAGCAATTCTCCTCTTTCGCTCTTTGAGGATTATTTCTAACAAATAATGTATTAACAGTCTTTCTACTGACAGAGAAAACCAAATCCTCAAGAGGAATGCTTCTCACGCAGCGGTTGTCAACCAGGTGTGAGTTTGCCTCTGAGGGGATATTCTGCAATGTCTGAAAACATTTTTAGTTGCCACAGCTTTCAAGGGAGGAGGAGTGCTCTGGGGCCCTAAGTCAAGATGCCTCCAAAACATCCCACAGCACACAAGACAGCCCCCACAACAAAGAACTGCCCACTCCAGAAGGTCAGTGGTTGAAGCCCTGTTTTAATGTAGAGAGACACAAATGCTACACGTGCAAATTACATATAAATATCTGATCATGAGATCAATGTAATTAGTATTTTTAATATAGTTTTAGGATAGAAAGCTAAAGAATGATAAGTTAATTCATAGGTTTTAAATAAAACACACATATAAGTACCATTTACATTTAGGAAGTCTTTGAAAATGCTATTAAAAGAAATAAATTTATATTTAAAAGAGATCTAACTTTGAGTCCCAATGGTGGCGCCAGTAGTAAAGAATGTGCCTACCATAAAAGGAGATATAACAGACGTGGGTTCGATCTCTGGGTCAGGAAGATCCCCTGGAGGAAGGCATGGCAACCCACTCCAGTATTCTCGCCTGGAGAACACCATGGACAGAGGAGACCGGTGGGCTACAGTCCATAGGGCCGCAAAGAGTCAGACACGACTGAAGTGACTTAGCACGCGGCACACAACTTTTGAGTCCCAGTAGGATCTGGGCCTTTAAAGTCAAGTAATTTCTTTTTGGCCAAAGCATCTCTCTCTCAAATAGATCCAGTTTAAAAAAAGAACCAGTGACAATCCATAAAGAGAAAGTAGACTGGTGTCTGATGGAGGGGAAGTGGGGAGGGGGAATTGAAAACAGTACTCAAGAGTTGCAGGTTTTATTCTAGGGGGATGAAATGTTTTGAAATTAGATCATGGTGACAGTTGCACAACATTAGGATCACACTATATGCCACAAAACTGTTCACTTTAAAAGGTTAAATCTGTTACATGAATTTCACCTCTACAAAAAAGGGGAGCCTGTGGGAGCAGCAACTTCAAGCAGGAGAAAAACCACAAGATGCCCCAAGAGGACCTCAGTCCCAGGAGCTCTCTCCTGGCGAGGGCGAGGGCGAGGGCAAGGGAAGGAGATGGCAGAGTTGGATTCCCTATCATGTTTTCTCCCACGTTTGCTTCTGTCATCATATTATTGGTGTTTCATAATAAAACTCAGCAAACTCAACATTATCAAGAATTTCTTACTGCTGAGACATTTGCTAATTGTTTTTGATATCATTTCCAAGCCTACTTCAGTTTATCCTCTTTTTAAAAGCCTCTTTGTTTTTCCTTAGTCCCTTATCCAAAATTCTAATTTCACATAACAAAACTTCTAAGGCAAATTAACATTTTTTACACTTTTTTATTTTAACTCAAAAGGAATTTGCTGTATACCTGTGTTGTTAGCACACTGGTAGGCCTTGAAAATGCTGCAGTAGACAAGAAAAACACAGTTGTTGTGAGGATGAAGCTCACAAGCCAGGGAAGAAGATATACATTAAACATTTATCCTAACAATTATTTAATTACAATTGTGACAAATGCTGGAAGAAAAAAATATAGAATGCTGTCATGGTTTTTTTTAATTTAATTTTTATATTCACAGCCCTGTTTATTTCAAAATTATCTTTTATTATCTTCGCTTCTAGATTTATACTTTCTATTTAGCTTGCTTTTCATCTCTCATTCTATTTCATAAGGTTATTATAACAGGTTTAATGCAACAGTTTCCTTTTCTTTTAACCTACTCGATATTCCTTTGGTTGATTTGGGTTTTTTAAGTCTCCTCTCAAGTTTCTAATTCTTTTTATGATTTTCTTTTTGGTTCTTTCTCTTTTTCCATGTTTCACTACTCTGTGATCTGTTGAGATTACAGGGCCCTAGGGAACGTCTCATGCTTGTGCTCAGTCACTAAACTGTGTCTGACTCTTTTGTGACCCCATGGACTGGAGGCGGCCAGGCTCCTCTGTCCACAGGATTTCCCAGGCAACAATACTGAGGTGGGTTGCCACATCCTTCTTCAGGGGATCTTCCCAACCCAGGGATAGAATCTGTGTCTCCTGTGTTGGCAGGCGAGTTCCCCACCGCTGAGCTACCACGGAAGCACTACGAGGGATGTCTGTATCTCAGAATGATCACCACTTTTAGGCCACAGTGACAACGCCCTGACGTTAAGCAGTTTCCTCCCTACTAGCTCTCCCACTTTACTCTCTTGAATAGCTCTCTCAATGCTTCAATCTCCCTCAAGGACTGCTGGACCTGTCAGGAGAGCAATCGTCCTACCCCAGAAATTAACATCTTCCATGGGCACCTTAGACCCTCTCTCCTTTGCTCAGCCCACCTCTCTCAAAGACAGCCTTCAGAATCTCTGTTTGGCTGACTCATCAATAAGCCCCACTTCAACAAAGACAGCCAGGACCCAGAAAGCCCATAGACCCTCTTGGGGCCAGCTGAACTTAGCTTGCCAGAGCCAAGGCTGTGACTTTGGTGGGGACTAAACTGGTCTTGCCAAGCAGCCACTACTGAGCTGTCTCTTCTGAGAGAAGAATCTGGGCACTGTCTCCCAAACTATTATTACAGAAAAACTGGAAGAAGAAATAAAACAAAAATTAAAAAAACAAACATTAATAAAGATCTCTACATCTAAGTTATATACAACTTCAGGACATCTCATGCTGGCAATGAAAACTCTTGGTAATTACCGAGTCTCAACAGAGTGGGTCACTTACAACATTAAAAAACACAATGGTAAGCCTAAAGAAGAAGGATTCAGAGAAGGAATTATCCAAAATTCCATGAATCATTTTAGTCCAAAATTTAGTCTGAGGCAAGAGTCATGCAATTCAGATTTTTAACAGAATTTTATACCTAAAAATTTAAGACTGAATCAAAAGAGAAGTTCAAAAGTAGAATTAGAATTTTCCAATTTAAACATTTAAAGAGTAGAATGTATTAAGTTGGTCAGAAGCAAAAAGTACTGTTTTCTACTTGTAACTGAATAGTATCTTCCCCTTCTTAAACCACTTTTTTCACTTATACAACTTATGCAATGCTGACAATTAACACAGAGCACCAATAAACTGAACAGTTTGAAAACTCACTTCTCTACATTCTCCATGGTAGCCTTCTTTCTTATGGTTACAACTGCTTTGGGGAATAAGGAATGTGTAAGATGTATATCAAGAGCCCCAAGGATGGCTTACAACTGGAAAAGTTTCTGCTATAAACAGAAGCATAAAAAATTATTTGTTATAAAAAACAAATAACAACAGCAAAACCTAGGAGCCTATCAGTTCATCAGCAGATCAAAGACCTTTCTTTCTAAGTCTCTTAAGCAACCTGGCTGGGTCGCTGGACAACCGAGAACAATCTGTACATTCTGGCCACTTACAGCTTCCAAACTATATTAATTCCAAAGAAACCTAATCTATTTGTACACAGAACAAAATGGTGAGCCCTCCAAGTTACCTTTCTCAATGTGTGCAAACAAAACACACTGCTCACTTAATCACTGGATGGCCAAGGAATTACCCTGAAATGTTCAAACTCTGAGTACCTATCACACCCTAAGCAATTTAAGGAGTGGCAATTTAAGAGCTCATTTCCCCAGGGCTTTAGTATTTCAATCTTGTCTGCTACAAGGCCACCCTGCTTTTTTCTTCAGCTTCTGACTACATGCTAAATATTTAGTGCCTGGGCCTGATAATGTCCAAAAGAAGAAAACATATCACACATTGAAATGGGTCAATTTTATTCCTTTCAAAATTAAAAGTTAAATA